TACTGGGACAGCGATTCGAGACGAAGACCTCGTCGCACAGGCACTGAAGGCATCGGGCAAGTCGACGTATGAAGATGCCCTCATGCATCTGTCTGGGGACTTGAAGCCGCTAGAGGGAGAGACGAGCACGTCTACGTTTTCGTCCCCGATTTGCGACTTGATCCTTGCCGTGTTTGAGCTGGACAAGAAGAACAATTGGCTGAGGCGGCAGGCAATCGTCATCATCTTGCAGCAGGTCCTTGGTGGTACGATTGAGCGGTTAGTTCATATCTGAAACCTCACATTGGCGTTGCACTCATTGTCCTGATAGGAAGCTCCGTGATACTTCGAAGTCATTCTTGGACGAGTCACATCTTATGACATTTATCAATGCCTTCCGGGATGGCCTTTGGCCTGGAGGTAGCCTCAAGCCGCCAAGCCTCCCGCGCACCGTCGAGGAGAAGCTCCATACGAGGGATGAGGCAAACCGCAAGTTGTCTGCTCTGATGCCAGGTACGTACGGTGTTGACACCAGCGGATAATGAATACTCACGGGTGCAATCCCCATGCAGATCTCGCGGCCAACATGATCGGCCGCTCGAACGCGCGTCGCGGTGCACGCCGTATATTCGCTGTGATGCAGAACCGCCGGCTGAACCAGCATCTTATTTACACCGTTGTGGATGAGGTGCGTGTACATAGTCTATGTGAACTTCAACCTTGTCTCATGAGTATTGTATTGCAGATATTTGCTGCTCTGTTCTCTGAAACGGCTTGAACAGTTGCTGTTATGCCCTTGCGATGTTGTTGTACGACATTTTACGTATTTCTAATATGATACCTCAGTTGCAGCAGCTTGACTTTCTCAGTTTGCGCCCAATCGCGTGGACGATAGTCACGGTGTTCGTGTTCAAGTACTCTTACTGGGAAATGGCAAACCCGAGCAATGCCAAGCTCCTGGGGTTGCGGACATACGGGCCGGGATCCGTAGCCGAGCGACAATCGTACCACAATGATACTGTGGCTGGGAGTCGGGACTCCGAGCTTGGGAGTACTTCGCGGCACCCAAGTCACACGTCCCGCAACCTCAACGTCGCTATCAGGCTCATCATCAACTAGCAGGTAGTTCCTACGACGCTGGTCATATCAGGTCGAGCAGCGTCACGATATGCTTGACGCGGATACCGACGGCCAACAGCAATCCCATGCAGCATCCGTACTGAATGCGGATGCCAATCCCGAGGGGCCCAACAACGCCGATGCGTCTCAAGTTACCTTGGATCGCAAGGCATTGGGCACTCTGCTTGTACAGCATCTCTCAAAGTATGTCTAAACTTCCGTCGCGCCACTCGAACTTGGCTGATTTTCCGTGTCTAGCGTGTGGGGTCTCCGCACAGCGGAGTTCGCAGTATACCTTTTTCTAGTCACCTTGTTCCCGGACACACTGCTCCCGGCGTCCATCTATGGTTTTGTGACGACTGGAGTAGCCATATTCCTGTCAGGCTGGGCCGGACGACTAGTTGACGAACATCACAACCTAGGTGTTGTCCGCGTCAGCATTATTGTCATCAAACTCGCTGCTTGCACCCAGTATGGTGCCAGCCTTGTCCTTCTCTATGGCTTCGGAGCTACGTCAGGATTGCAGCGTCCGTGGAGTACACACCTGTCCTCAGGCATGTTCTCGATCATCGTAATTGGTGGATGCATCCATACCGTCGCCGGGACAACCATCTCTGTCGCCGTCGAACGAGAATGGGTGACTACAATTGCGGGCTCATCCTCATCACACCTTACGATGCTCAATACATATATGCGGCGCGTCGATCTGTTCTGCAAACTGGTCTCTCCGCTCTTTGTCTCACTTCTCACAAGTGTCGCATCCTACCGGTTCGCGGCGATCTTCCTCTGCGGCGTCGAGGGAGCCTGTATGCTGTTTGAACTCATATGTACGTTCTTTCCAGTCGATACCGTGTTATGAAAGGTAGTCGCTGATTGCGCCAGGGATCACAATTTCTTATGGGCGCTTTCCCACCCTGCGAGAAGCTCAAGCCGCTAGAAGCGCTACTCGCAGAGAAGCTCCGGTCGAACAACAGGAGACCCCATCCAGTGTGGTCGACACTCTTCTCGTTCTTTGGGTAAAATTGCGCAAACGCCTCAAGGAGACCATCGTCGACTGGCGAGAGTTTGCGCACTATCCCGTCTTCCTCTCTTCTCTCGCTATCTCTTGGCTGTACCTTACAGTACTCAGCTTCGATGGGACAATGCTGAGTTATCTCAAGTCGCATGCGTACAGTGACCCTTTCCTCGCTGGGATGCGTGGACTGAACGTGATCGCGGGGCTCGCTGGTACCTTGGCCATGCCCTTCTTGGAGAGAAAGCTTGGACTTGTGCGGGCTGGCAACTGGAGCATATGGTATGTGATTTCCAGCACTGGCGATTCACGATACTGAATAGGCCGCTCTCCCAGGTCAGAGTTTGTGTGCTTGCTGCCCGTACTCATCGTCCTATATGTAGGGGCACCCGCAGATGGCGCGCGTGCTCCTGCATGGACCGCAGCCTTGCTTTTTGGAGGTAGGGTTTATCGGACAGATGTTACACTCGCGTCTCTTACAAACGGAAACCCGCAGGGATGATGCTCTCAAGGGTCGGCTTATGGGCGTTTGATTTGTGTCAGCTCAAGGAGCTGCAGCTCGCCCTCGCTGCTCATCCACGGCGAAATTCTCTGTGGGTCCCTCCGGCACTACTCATTATCTGTCAGGACCCGTTTGTTTACCTAACCATAGAACTGCGCTACAATACTCCATGCAAAACATCGCGGACATGCTGAGGGTACGAGTCCCTGTGCTCTCAGTCATAGTGATCGCACTTACTCACTCGGGGGCTTCCCTGTAGCATGTCCTGACGATAGTCTTGAATAGGCCAGCGCAGTTCAAATACGCCGCTCTGGCGTCTTTCATCAGCGTCTTCGCTGGAGCCTCGACGTACCTGTTCTACGTCAAGAAGGAGCGGGGCCACATTCTGCATCACGAGCTCGGAGAGATCATACCTCTTCTCAGGAGGAAAACTAATTGACATACACGTAACTTGAATACACTGCGACAAGCAGTCGCCGCGTCCATAGGAAATGGTGTCCACTGTCCAAAGTATATGTATATGAAGCCACAAAGGAATATTTGAACACCATCATCGATTCAGGACCAAGTTGCCCGTGCGCTCTCACCTCCGGCAGTCCCCCCTATACCACCTACTGAGAGTCTTGTTCCAGAATGCTATGTATTATCATTCATGTCACTATAGTGAAGTACGACTCAACAGACGCGCACGATGGCAGATCCCGATGAATCGGCTGGTGTCGGCGATTGAGCCCTCTCTGAGGAGTAGGGAACCTGACCGAGCCTTCCCGGGAGTAATCTTGGTGTGGGAGTGGTATAGGTCACGCAGTAGTGTGTTGCACCATTCTCGTTGGATCAAGGCGTTGGTTGGCTGGACGCAGAAATATAGACTTCAATCAGCATCCCATCATCGGAGACACCCGATGAATCGGGCATTGGTTCAAGCTCAAGGAGGAGTCGAAGGAAGGCTGGGCCAGTATATATAGGGAGGGACACAATCCCTGTGTTGACACAGACTATCCACTGCACCAATCACTGAGAACAACACATACCATCGACACAACATGGCAACCGACAAACCTCTTGCCCTGGTATTTGGCGCTACCGGCGCCACTGGTAAGGGTATCATTAGCAGCCTCCAGGACATTGGGCACTTCGTGAGTCTGAAGCGGTGTTTCAGCATTGGGAGGGTTCCCGACTAATCCTACGAAAACTTCTAGCGGATTGCTGCCGTGATCCGTCCTGCATCCCTATCTAAGCCAGAGGTAGAGAAGCTTCGCTCGTCCGGAGTCGAGATCCGCACTGGTGACTTGAATGATGGTGTCGAGGCCCTGAAGAAGATCCTCGAGGGAGTCAACGTCGTCATAAGCACAGTCGTGGCGCGGGCTATCTCGCAGCAGAAGGATGCGATCCTTGCGGCAAAGGAAGTTGGCGTCCAAAGGTTCATTCCGTGCGACTTCGGAACCCCGGGCGCGAAGGGCGTGCGTCGCCTGCATGACTCGGTAAGTAGACGGTCCCATCCTGGTCTGCAGTAGCTGATTGTTCTTCCCGTGTGATAGAAACTGGAGATCAGAGAATTTATCAGGGAGGTTGGCGTCCCGTACACAATCGTGGACGTCGGCTGGTGGACGCAGCTCTACCTACCATTTCCCCTTCGCAGCAAGGTGGCAGAGTCCGTGAAGAAGATGACTTACTACATCGCTGGCGAGGGAGAGTCGCGCAATCTCCTGACGGACCGTGACCACATCGGTGTGTATGTGGCACGCATTGTGGAAGATCCGCGCACTCTCAATCAGTCGGTCATCGTGTGGGAGGACGAGGTGAAACGACGGGACGCACTCGAGCTCGGAGAGCGCCTCTCTGGAGAAGGAGATAAGCTCAAGGCTCAGCGCATCTACGTCAGTGTTTCTCACCTTGACCTGCTGGATTCACTTACTGACAATCTTGAACAGGTCACGGCTGAGGACCTGAAGAAGAACGTTGCCGCAGGTGTTGAAGGACTCAAGAAGGATCCGAACAACCAGAGTGCACAAGTCGCGATTACGTGGAACCAGTATCAGCAAAGCCTACTCATTTTCGAGGAGAACACGCTGGATAACGCGAAGAAGCTCGGATACCTTGACGTGCGAGAGCTCTATCCGGACATTGTGCCGGTCCCCTTCGAGGAGTATGCGAAGAAATTCTACAGCCTGGAGGATCCTAGTACCGAGGTGTACTATCGCGATCCCAGGATCGTTTCCACCGTCGATTGAGTCATGGACAATATCCAGAAGGGGGAGGCTGAAGTGTCACGTAGGATGTACACATGCATTCATGAGTTGTGATTTGTGTGACTTGCCACAAGCTCAGGCTGCAAAGAGTGCAATTGGTGTCAACGACTCTGGATGACTGCTGTCCGTCCCGTGGACAGGGCTTATAGCTCAGTGGTAGAGCATACGATTGCAGATCGTGTTGTCCCGTGTTCGAACCACGGTGGGCCCTGTCATTTTGCCCGGCACCTTCGGCCGGTGTGCCGCTCGTATGTGTAATCGCTCGAGTCTTCGTCGTACTCTCGTGTCTCAACCAGTCACCACCATGCGTCGCGCTACTGTCCATTCTCTTCGTGCATCAGCTCATCGTCGACCCCCATGGAGCAAATCCATTCATCTACCTTCTAGGCCGCCGCCGCCGGCAGACCCACCTGTACAAATCACCACGCTACCCAATGGCATCCGTGTGGCGACAGAAAGTACACCGGGTCATTTCTCCTCTGTAGGGTTGTACGTCGACGCAGGCTCCAGGTATGAAACACCATCCACGTCTGGTGTCAGTCATTTCTTGGATAGGATGGCCTTCAAGGTGCGTTAGAGAACAACTGGAATGAGTACCTCGACCCACTCTATCCTCAGACGACGAAGACTCGCTCGGAAGAGCAAATGGCGGCAGATATCGACGCGCTTGGTGGACAAATTATGTGCTCTTCTGCACGAGAATCCATCATGTACCAGTCATCCCACTTCAACAAGGGTACGGGCCTCGCGCTTTCTCTCATAGCCGACACGGTCTGCAATCCCGCACTCCTTCCGGAAGAGCTCGACGCGCAACGGGAGGCCGCGCGGTACGAGTGGAGGGAGGTGAGCTCAAAGCCGGAGATGATCCTTCCAGAGATTCTGCACGAAGTCGCGTACGACGGCAAGGGTCTCGGGAACCCCCTTCTGTGTCCGGAGGACCGAATAGACACCATCGACAAACGGATGCTGAAGGGGTTCATGCAGACGTGGTACCGCCCGGAGAGGATGGTCATCGCGGGTGCTGGCATGGACCACGAGACGCTCGTGCGGTTCACGTCCGACCACTTCGCCCACCTGAAGCCCTCACCTGCGAAGGCTGCTGAGTCTACGGAGTCCCAGAAGGGCTTGAGCCAAACACGTACAACGCAGCAATTACCCTCAAACCTTCTCCAGTCTTCCCAGTCATCGTCACCGTCATTATACAAATCTCTCACGCGAGCCGCGTCCTCGTACCTCTACTATCCGGAGCAGCCTTTGACACCCCCTTCTACCCACGCGTCGACTTACACCGGTGGTCATAAGTTCATATACGACCGTGAAACAGAGTTCAACCACGTTTATCTCGCGTTTGAGGGTGTTGGGATCCACGACGACGATGTGTACGCAGTAGCGACAATGCAGGTGTTGCTCGGCGGTGGAGGCAGCTTCTCAGCAGGTGCGTGTATCGCTCGTCTCGCGTCGTTTCCACTCGGTGCTTGACAGCTCTTCGTCTACGCAGGTGGTCCCGGGAAGGGCATGTACTCGCGCTTATACACGCACATCCTCAACCACTTCCCTCAAATTGACCACTGTGCATCCTTCCACCACATCTACACCGATTCTTCCCTCTTTGGTCTCTTCGCGTCGTTCAATCCCTCAAGCGGACGACAGGCCAACTCCCCCGCTCATATTCTCCCCCACCTCGTGCACCAGTTGAGCTTACTGTTGTACTCCAACATCCCGCAAGCGGAGCTCAGCCGCGCCAAGAACCAGCTCAAGTCGAGCCTCATGATGGCGCTCGAGAGCCGGGCAGTTGAGGTCGAAGATCTCGGTCGTCAGGTTCGTTCTCAGACTACTGCTAGTGCGCTGTTTTCTGACCCCAAGACAGGTGCTCGTACATGGACGCAAAGTTCCTGTGTCCGAGATGTGCGAGAAGATAGACGCGGTCGACAACACTGCGATCCGCCGCGTCGCTGCGCGTGTGTATGGACCGCGCAGCACGGCAAAAGCAACCGTGGTAGCAATGGGTCGCGAGGATGTCGGAGACTACCGTGGTGTGTTACGGAAGTACGGTCTTGCAGAGGCGTGAGGTGGGGTGTGGAGGAGTGCAGGACGTTCGGCACGCATTATCGTAGTTGTAGATTCTCATCCTAATCGCAGCAGGATCGATCCTTTGCTACTCAATTCCTTGTGGGCGACAGGCAGCATTGATATAATACGCCCGATTTGCTCGAACTCAGGCGAAGGCACGCACGCGTCCACCTTGATCATGCTGGAATCTCACGCGCCACCACTGGGGACTCGTGCGCACCACTGCGCAGGCCGCAGGCGAATGATGTTGTACCTGCTATCAATCACTATTTTGACTTAACGTATGGGCCCTGAGACTATGGAGGTCTTCTGCCGATCGGGCCGCCCGCCGCTGACCGGTGGTGGAACTCATTGACTCGGGTACCCACGAGCAGGGCAAGGGAGTCGATTGCGTGCGCAGCTTGTTCAGTCAGCCATAAGCACTCGGTTTGGGCACACTGAGAGTGGATCAAAACTACAGGTAGGTCTGACGAACAACCGTATCTCACTCCCCAAGTGTTCACGATCAATCGTCTGCATAGGACTGGGAAGATGAGGTTCTATCTACCTATCCTCGGGCTAGTCGCCCTCGCGCGGGGTGTGCAACAACCGCTCTCTGCCTCTTCGTATGATGCTGGCCTCTTTTTGCCATTCGAGGACCTGCACGCACTCTCTGCATCCGAGTACACAACGCTGCAGCATCCGAACTTCCCAGCACAGAGTGTGCGCATCAAGGATTCGCAGTTTTGCGACGGTGACGCTCGGTGGGTCCTCTGCTTGACCTGTGTTCTGCTGACGTTTGGAGCTGAGACACGTCTTCGTGCTGTGTGTTTGTGTTCACAGTGCTTACACAGGATATATAGACGTCGAAGCGCGTCACTTGTTCTTTTACTTCTTCGAGAGCAGGCGGGACCCCGACACGGACGACGTCGTATTCTGGACGAATGGCGGGCCCGGTGGATCTTCCGCGCTGGGCCTGTTCATGGAACTCGGTCGGTCCTGTGCACACAGTCGTACTCATATGAAAGCTGGCTAAGATTCCACTGTCAGGACCGTGCAGGGTCACGAGTCCGAACACCACCGAGCGCTTCGAACAGGCGTGGAACGAGCACGCCAACGTCTTCTTCATAGACCAGCCCGTCGGTGTTGGTTTCTCCTACGCTGACTATGGAGAGAAAGTGGTACGCGAGCGAGGAACCCACCGTCGTGTTGTCGACCCAACTCACGTTCTTGATAGAGCACTACTCTTGAGGCAGCCCAAGACATTGCTGCGTTCGTTGCGATCTTCTTCGAGCACTTCTCAAGGTTCAAGGGTCGGCCGTTCCATATGGCCGGCGAGTCATATGGTGTACGTGGTTGTTTTTCTCCACAAAAGATTTATATGTTCTTACGAGCTTCTGATAGGGCCGTTACATCCCAGTATTCGCAGCAGCAGTATACGACCAAAACACTAAGCTCGTCGAGGCCGGCTTGTCCCCTATCAACATCTCTTCCGTTATGATTGGTATGTAGTTCTACCCCCCTTGGTCTCGCCGATGGTCTGTTCAGTGTTGCTACAGGCAACGGCTGCACCGACTTCACGGGAATGCTTCCCTCCTACTACGAGCTCCAATGCAAGGACTACGGGTTTCCCGCAGTCACCAGCGTCGAGTAAGTTATTGCGACATCTCCAGTGCACATAGCTTACAGCGGGTGGACTTGCAGAGAGTGTGTTCGTATGAAGCAACTCGTACCGAGGTGTCAGAAGAGGTTACAGCAGTCATGCAAGGACGTGGTCGACGCCATCGACTGCAGCTCAGCATGGGAATTCTGTTGGAGTTCGTTTGCGTCGTTGTTCGAAAGTGAGCGCTTCCGTCTGTCAAGGATGCAAAGCTCGTCTGACCGACGTTCTATAGATATCAACGCCTACGATGCCTTGCGACCCTGGTGAGTTCAGTTGCCTTTCCCTAAACAGCCAGCAGACCAATCGTACACACAGCACGGGCAATGCAGACATCGACGCCTGTTATCCGGCTGCCAAGTGAGCACCTGCGATACTCCACCACATTCAGAGACTTACCAATCCCTCTATACGACAGGGACATCGCTGCCTTCCTCAATGACCCCTCTACCCAAGCCAAGCTCGGGGTCGACGTACGTCACGCTAATTGGAGCACAATCAACTACGACCTCAATAGCCGGTTCGCAAGCGGCGGCGACTTCTGGAGCTTCCGCGCTGAGCACTACCTCGCAGCCCTCCTCGAGCGCGGCGTCCGCGCGCTCATTTACGTCGGCGCGACAGATTGGATCTGCAACTGGGTGAGTTCGTCTTCTCAAATGCATCGTCTGCATACAAGGAGGCATAGCTGACCCCGTGTGGATCATGTCTAGGTTGCTAACGAGCGCATGACCCTCGAGCTGGAGTGGACGTCGCAAGACGCGTTCGGCGGCCAGCCGCTGCGCGAGTGGTTCGTCGACGGCGAGGTCGCTGGCAAGACGAGGAGCTTTGGGAAGCTCACGTTCGCTACCATTCGCGACGCGGGACACTTGGTGCGTAGTGGTATCACATATGAAGCATGACCCCGAAGGTTCACTGAGATGCTTCCAGGCGCCGTATGACCAGCCGGTGAGGTCCCTGGAACTGGCGAACAGATGGCTTGCCGGTGAAGATCTCTGAACGCCGTCGCGGTAGCGAGGATCCGTGGTTTACTCCGAAGCAACGGCAATATCAGTTTCAGACAATTGCACTCCTATATAGGGCGGTGGAGTAGCTTACAGCAGTTCCTGCCGCTCCCGTACATATGCTTGTATACATACCAGCCTGGAGGGATGAAATTTTGGTGATCCAGTCGAACCCAGCACAAATTAGCGCATAGTGCGCCATGGAAGGGAAAACTTCCGTCATCACGTACATCGCAACATCAGCATACGCATTCCAGGCAACTGCAGGTGCAAGGCATGCGCAGATATTCATACATTACAAATAGCAGGGGAAACCTGCTCTCGAGTTTAACGTTCAATACTTCCTCGCCTTGACATCAGTCCATCGCGCATTCTTCTTGGACACCAAGTAGATCACAGACCCCGGCCCAGGCGTCATCCACGCACTAGGCTGGCTCGGTTCGAGGTTCGTCACGAAGAACCGCTGTCCCACACGGATATCCCCAGGCTCCCCGCCATCGC